CTTCCAGGGTCGTCGTCAGCTCGATCGCCTCGCTGATAGTCTTGCCACGCTGGAATGGTACAAACTCCTCATCTTCTTTTTCTTGTTTGAGTACAGCTCCATCACTCCCAATGTTCGATCTCTGAAAGAAAACTCCGTCAGGCCCAGAGACTTCACGAAGCTGTTGGACTCTATTTGCTGGTATACGAAATAACGCTGATATCACACGTCGACCTGCATCATCCTCGTTGAACATGCGCCCGCTGTAGCATATGACTTCGAGGTCCGTCGGGATGAGCTTGGTCTTCGCAATATTGGCCATCTCGGCATCCAAAACACGCCAAGGCGGCAGCTCGTTGTACTTCTTTCGTTGGCCCCCTCCTCCTGCTTCAGCTCGCTTGTCGCGGGCCGCTGTAGCTTGTCGGTGAAGGCGTGCCAGTTCTTTGAATAGCTTCTCTGTCGAGTGTTCTTCCAAGACCGCCACAGACATGAGAACCTCTGATTGGCACTCGATCTTTGTGGGGACACGCGTAGGTTTGATGTCCGTACCCTGCACACCAACGTGTTGCCAGACAAACAACTTGCGTAGCTCACGGCGTCCATCTGGGTGGGTAAGCGGTACACTTAATAATGATATTTTATCCGTCAGCCCTCTTTGTGCACACTGAAGGACAAGATCTTTCGGAAGACTATCTGGCGGCTGTGCCAAGACGAACCCAAAGGGGTCTTTCGGCAACTCTTTGCTCCAGAAGTCCTTGTCTGACAGAAGCTGCGCCAGCTCGTTCACTGTGACCAGGTGGATCCGCTTCATGTCATCATATTGCATTGGTAGCCCGCGTACAGTCGGTAGTGACCAGTCTGCATCGTCGAGCTTGGTTGTCAGCTGCCACGTCGGCTGTGGTGTGGTCGCTGACTTCTTTTTCTTTTTCACTTTCTTCTCCTTGGGCTCCGAGTCCGTGTCGGGGAGCTTCGAGCCGAGCGGTCTCTCCTTGAGCCACTTAGTGATCTCTGGAAAGATTTTCTCGGCCTCCAACTTTGATATTTCTGCCATTCTTTCTTTGCTGATGTTCCGCAGGTGGTCATACGTCTTCTGAGCCTGGGATACCTCTTTCATCTCGAGCACAGTCATGACTCGAGACGCCATCATCGCTGGAGTGTTGGCCAGCTTCGCCAGTCGCTTGCGTAGTGCAGTCTTCGCCCCCGGCCCATTGCCGTGGAGCGCGTGCTGAAGTCGATTCCACTCCTGGTGGGTGATAAGCCACCTATATCCAAGTGAATATTCTCGATCCCCTGGAAAGATGAAGCCCCAACAACATCTCTCCACAAAATTGATGCTAATATTCTGAAGATAATATATGTGGACGTACTTCGCGACGCAATGGACAAACTCGTAATACCCATCGTCCGTCGTCATGACAACCGAGAACCTGAAGCTGTGGTTCAGAAGGTTGTACGTCTCGGCAGAGTCGCCCTTGGAGTCTCTGACGAGGCCCCTCTGGTCGATCTCCACTATGTCACCGAACTCGCCCCTCTCCTCATGCCGGTGCCCGCTCCAACCCGGGACGCCTGCACAACACGCCTGTGCCCCCATGAAGAATGGAAACGACCTTGGCGCCGATCCGGCAGGTGAGCTCCTAAGTCGAAGTCAGGACCCAGACAGCATCGGACTGGGACCGATCGAGAGATCCCGCGACCCTTGAGGATGTGTGAAGCGCCGCGGCCATTCCAAAGCGCCCCGGAACGCTCCGAGAGCCTTGCGAAACGCTCTGGAGAGATCCGTCTCGATCCTAGCCCCGCCCGAACTCCCGTTGGCCTTGGGGGCTGCAATGCCGGAGCCGCGAGGGAGGAAACGGGGGAAGGAGGAGAAGGAGGAGGCACAGCTTTACCCAGGATGAGGAGGAGGAGGAGGAGGAGGAGGAGGAGGAGGAGGAGCAAACCCGCGAGTTCCTGGGCGTGGCGGGCCGTCGGGCCTCCCATCGGCGATGGGAGAGCGGGGGCTGTCGATGCATGCCCCCCCCCCCCCTCCTGAGCCTATCGTCAGGTCGGGCCTGTCCCCCTACAGGGGGATTTTGGATGAAGCATAAACAATTGAATTGTCAAAAAATGCCCCCGAATGGTCAAACAATACGAAGAGAACCGGCCCCATACTATTTTTTGACTATTTTGGAAGGTTCCTCCTGTGGAGGGACAGGCCCGACTTGAGCCTATCGCCCCTCACGCTGCCCCCGACGCCCTGTCGGCGAATCCTGCTGCGGCGAGCACGCCGCGAGGATGGAGGCCAGGACCGGAAGGACAAAGAGCGGCGCAAACCTAGGTGGTCGGAGGTCCGTGCGGAGATCTTGAATCGGCGCTGGACCTCCCTCCCTGGCGCGGGGAGCGCACCGGGGGCGGCGCCCGATGCGGCGCCAGTGGGGCCCAGCGCCGATCCAAGAAATGCGTGCGGACCGCCGAGAAATCATGCTCATGCCGTTTCCTGTTGTCCTGGGGGACATGGTCGGCCTGTATCGGCGCGGATTCGGAACCAAATCGCATCGGCTTCTCCAAGATGCACATCAACGACACGCCGCATCGGATCGACGGGATATCGGCATCGAATCGGGTCGGGCTGGCCGAGATCGACGTCGAATCGGATCGAAATGGGCCCTGCACGGGTGCCGGCAGGTCAGGCCGCCGTCGCCGGCTGCGGGACGAGATGGGGCCTTTGCATGCTGTGACCCGCGCGATGTCCGGGTGCCGGCCGTGTTGGGAGGAAGGGGCTGGGAAGCTATAGGGTACGACTGTGCAAACAACACCTGCAACATGCGACGTATTGATGATGTGATCCTGTCTCCCGACCCCATCCTCTCGACCCGATAGTTGTCTGTTTGAACCGCGCGGAGGGGCTCGGCAACCCCGCGTCCCCCGAGATCTGGGCGATGCAATTCCCAAATTTCGGTGGCAGCTCATGGGAGCCTCCCATACCATCTCGTTGGCTCTTGCGAGTCGACGCTCCTCGAAGCGAGTCGACGCTAAATCGACACCAATCGGCACTTCGGCTCCCATGATCCGGGCGATGCACTTCCCGAATCATCTGATATCGACAACCTTCGGCACCGCTCTGGACGAACCGGTCGCGACCGAAATCTGGCCTCCAGTCGCAAATGCCGGTAGCGAACGAGCCATCGACGGCCTTGAAACCCTCGCTTGGACCCCGACGCGTCGTCCCATCGTCACCGAAATTCAACCCACTCTGGTCGCGACTGAAACTCGCGCCCGAAATCCGTTACCGAACATTTCTGGTCGCGGATGATCTGTTTTTGAACACTTGGCGTCTTCGCTGGGTTTCGGGTCCTGGGGCCCATGATCGATCCGGCTCGAAAAATGCCGCAAACAGACGTGGCCTGTAGGGCCTCGGTCGTGATGTAACTGCGATGTTGCAACTTATCTTCGCAACGTCGGATCTCAGGGTCCAATAGGGGGATTCGCAGATCATAACCCGAGGCCCGTGCGCGGACGAGGGGGGGGGGGCAAAAGATGATGATGATGATGATGATGATGATGATGATGATGATGATGATGATGATGATGCTGATGCTGATGCTGATGCTGATGCTGCTGCTGATGATGATGATGATAATGATGATAATAATGATAATAATAATGATACTAATAATGATGAAGAAAAGGGGGCCAGGAAATGTGCGTTACGTTTGAGATGTTGGGAGCCTCCCAAAGCTCTCTGGGGGGCCCCCGACCCCCCCCCTGGGGCTCCCCAAAGCTTCCAAGACAACCACCAAGATGGTTCAACATTGCCTTAATAACCACAATAACAATCCCCAAGAGAAGCCCAAGAAACGCCAAAGAGGTTTTCAAAACACGGAAGAACATGGCAACGGGCTCTCCAGAAAGGCCGAAAAGTCACTGAAACACCAGAGGAGATGATGTGGTTCGCAAATGTTTGTGGGTTCCGGGCCACTCGGGTAAAAATGGTCCCAAGAGGGCCCAGGAGTCAACGAGAGGACAAACAAATCTACAGAGGCCCTCAAGAAGCCCCCAGAAGGCCTGGGACAGCCCAAAGAGGGCCCCACGACGGCCCAAGAGGGCCCGAAGATGGCCACAGAGGGCACCACGCGGCACGAAGGCAGCCCAGGAGGGCCCCAAGACGGCCCAGCAAGGTCCCAAGAGGACCCCAAGACGGCCCCACAGGAGCCCAAGCCCGTCGAACTCGACACCATTGAGAGCCTCAGGACACTCAGGCGAGAGGCGTCACATGTTGCGGCCTGCCGGGCGGTGCTCCAAACGTCATCACTCAAAGTGTTGCGCTGACACCGTGGCGGAGCTTGCCCCAGGCGGCAACCTATGAGGTGCAACGATTTTTGTTGCTGGTGCAACAGCGCTCAATTTCAACGCTGTGGGAATTTGCGTCACCACCCATCCTTCGCCGGGCACGTGCCCGGCTTGGCAGGGTGAGGCGGGTCATGCCAAGCCTGAAGCTGATATGCCCATAATTAAGTGAAGATCTAAGAAACGGACGTGGCCCAGCCCACGCAGCAAGTAGATAAGAGGTGCACGCGCGAATGCAGGGCTTGCAGCAAACTGCGGCTTCTGGAAGCTCACACCTCTGAATTTCAGGTCTCCGGTCTCCGCAGAAACCCCCAAAACTCGGCCAAGCGAGTGCTCCGTAGCGCTGCGCCTGCCAGCGGGAGACGAGGGAGGAAAGAGGGAGAGGAGCTAAAGTAGTAAGATCATTAATACAAGCTTGCACACCCAGGGACTCTAGGAGAGCTGCCGTTGCGTTGGCAAGGCGGGAATCAGATGCCGCGAACTGGCCGCGCATAGCCGTAGTTGAGATTTCCACTACTCCGCGCGGCCTGTCCAGAGACATGCAGGGGTCCCAGTGTAGAAATGAGAAAAAATCCGTAGGCTGCCAGCCGAGAACGGGAGGCTCAAGAACGCTGAGGCTGCCAGAGCGGTGACCCGGTCGTCGCGCGAGCTTACGGTGTCAATCGCTGGCTGCCGTGTGTGCACCTCCTCCGCGCCCCTCAGCAGCAGCCGCCCTCCGAGCTGCTCTCGTCGTCGTCGTCGTCCTCGCCGTCGCTGCTCTCGGCGTCCTGCGACAACACGCAAGAGTTACCCTTCGCCAGAGTGCCTTTTGGCGCGGGCTCATCGGTGTCCCCCCGATCGCTGAGCGCGATGCGACAGCGGCTGCTTGCGCGCCTGGGCTTGGCCACCCTGCCTCCCCCGAGTCCGCGCACCACAAACTCACTCTTGCCCAAGGTCACTCTTGCGTATAGGTTTTTTTTGAGATGGGTAAACTGGCATTTCGAATTCGAAAAACTGGTCTCTTGAACTCAAAACAACTTCTGGAATTCAAGAAAAAACGAATCCTTGATGGGCGCCTTCTCCTTCTCCTTCTCCTTGCTGGCTGGCGCCCCGCCGTGGCCGCCCGCGCCGCCGGAAACCACATTGTACGCGGCGAACGAGATGATGTTGATGATGGCCGAGACGACCATGATAGCGCCGTACGGCGCCTGCTCGGCGGCGTGTCGGGGATCTTCTGACCCAGGTCACCCCGAACCCCAATCAGTCAAGCGGAGCAGGATCCCGCAAGATCCTGCAGGATCCTGTAGGATCTGGCGCCCGAGCCTGGGTCAATGCACCCCTAGCTCTGCAGGATCCTGCAAGATCCAACGATCTGACTGACCCCCGTTTGCATTGACCCCCGTCTCAAGGCTCTCGGGCGCGCCTTCTCAGAAGCCCTCCGGCCTTGTGAGAAAATGTCTGTCTTCGGGGAAGGCTTAGAAAACTTCTCAGAAGGCCGGGGGGACTTCCGAGCCCTCTGAGAAGGCCCGCCCCTTCTCACTTACCCCTCTGGGCTCGCCGCAGAGCCTGCGGCAGGTGGTCGATGCCGACCAGCAGGGCGAGCGGAACGGTGGCAGCCTTATTGAAGTTGCCCGCGAAGGCGACGTGGGTGGCCGACAGGTACTGCACGATGCTGAACTGCAGGATGTTGTACACCAGCGAGGCCAGGGCAGAGCTGGCGCCGAATATGAATGTGGACTTGCTGTTCTCCCAGACCTGCGGGTCGGAGGAGCGGCGGGGATGACTAAGTAGCAACAAGGAGGTTGGCGAATCAGCTCATGCAGCCAACTTTCCCGGTGCCTCTCGGCGCCAATGCAAAGGAAAGCGCCCTGTCGTCGAAACCAGAATCGGCTGCACGCAGCTAAAGGTCGTCCCACCTCGTTCCCTACCCCCCTGCCGTCTGACCCGAGACCTGAGCCACGACCCAGGCATCGTTCGTGTAGCCGACCCCGTCCCAGTGCTTCACGGGGTGCTGCAGCAGGAACACGAAGGGGAGGAGGATAACCGCGGCGGGGATGGAGTTGTAGACCTCGGACAACAAAACAAGATAAACAAACAAGGTCGGAGGTCCAGGCGGATTTCTTGGATCGGCGCTCGACCAGACCCCTGGGCGACGCCTGCGGCGCCGCAAAGGGAGTCCACCGCCGACCCATTAAGTCCACGCGGATCTCGTCAAGTTTCTTTGTACAACGTTTCTGTTATTCGAAGACCACGGTGTTGAATCCGTCCAGCTTCACGGAGGTCTTCAGAACCCCCGCGAGCGCAAGGTTGACGCTTCCGGAGAACAGGGACACCTGAAGGAACAGATCTGCCGATGCCGCTACTCCCTGGAACTCCCCCGGACCAGGACTCCGAAGCGAATCCAACCATGGCGACAAGAGCCCTCCCAGGAGGCCTAAGGAGGCGCAAAGTGAGGGAAGCGCATCAGTCACCATCTGCATGTTTTCGTCCTCCCGACACCACGCAGTAGATGACACCGATGACGGTCTTCGCAGACTCGCCACCTCCCGCCTTCTTGTGGGATTCCCCCTCGGCCTCGGCGGCAATCTTGGCCCAGACGCACACGCACATCATCGCGGCGCCCAGCATCATCAAACCGATCTCGATTGGTTTGCACGGTTTCCCCTCGCCGGTCGTGTACTTCCCGAGGAGCCACTGCGCGGCGAAGGTGGAGAGCGGGAGGCACGAGCGGATGATGAGGTTCAGCGTCAGGGGGATGAGCGCCATGGACATGTTGTTCAGGGCGATGTTCATCGTGAAGCTCGCCGCGAAGCACAGCACCGCGATGACCTCATTCTGTGTGGTCAGCTGCTTGATCGTGATCTCTTTGTCGCCCAGTTTGTTGAAGCCGAGCGCCTTCGCGGGGAGGAACAACATCCAGAATATGATGAACCCGCCAAACTGCTGTATCCCAGTAACGAAGAACGAGGCCTGGAAACCCATCCAAGCACAATGGTCACCCGCTTCTGCACAGTACTCCGCTGGCGCTGGATCGAGGACCGTGGCGGACGAAAAGACGGCCTTCATGTACATGTTCATGCCAGTTTGGGCGCCGAAGAAGATAATCAGGAGGCCTGGTGTCATCAGCGCAGGGAACTTCTTGAGCATACAGAGGATAGCACCGCCCACAATGCAAATGCCGGATATGCCGAGCTCCTTCAGCAACTTAAGATCATCATGCGCCTGGACGTGCAGGTGGCTTGTAATGTGAGCGGCCTCGAAAGAGATCAGGTGGCTAATGGCAGATGCGGAAACCGCCATGGTCGTCGCTGCTGACTTGCCGCTATCCCTGGGGCAAAGACTGCGAGTTGGCTTAGCCTGCCACGTTGGAGATTCCCGCCAACTCGCTTGAGCCAAAACAACTGCGGCCCCAAGCACTGAGGGAAAACGAGAAGGGGGAGCTGGCCCAGGGAGGGGGACATGGGCGGCCGTGTGCCGGTCGGCGAGCGGGCGCAGCCGCCCCCCCCCTGCTTCGCCCTGCCCCGCCAGAGCCCCTTCTCCCTCTCCGCGCTCCGCCCTGGCCGCCCGGGCCCCAGGGGGAGGGGGTCGAGGGGGGGGGAGGAGGAGGAGGAGGAGGAGGAGGAGGAGGAGGAGGAGGAGAGGAGGAGGAGGAGGAGGAGGAGGAGGAGGAGGCGGAGGAGGAGGAGGAGGAGGAGGAGGAGGAGGAGAAAGAGGAGGGGAAGCTGGCCCAGGGAATCGGCGACACATCTCCGACAGATCGTCGTTGGGCCCTCTACGGCGAAACCGCGCGCTCCTGGGCGGGGCAGGCTGTCAGGCCCCTGTCGGGGAGGAGTGGCCGATTCGGGGTCGATGCGCTCCCCCGTGAGGCTGCCATCCCTAGCGCTGTCCCTGACTCAAGCTGGGCATGAGCACTGGCCGGAGGTCTGGCCGAGGGCCTGCGCCCTGGGGTGGGGCCCACGACGCGACGCGAACTCGCCAGCCCCATGCTCAGGCAAGACGCTGGCACAGAGGAGAGGTGCCTTTGACATCAGCTAGTGCACTCTGTCAATGGTTGCGCATGTACATGCTCGTGTTCATACCAGTCTGGGCTCCGAGGAAAGTGATCAGAAGGCCTGGCGTCATTAGCTGATGGCACGTCTTCAACATGCGAAAGATAGCCCCACCTTCGATGCAAATGGCTGATACGCCAAGCACCTCTAACGGCTTGAAGCCGCCCCGCCGCCAGACATTTGCCAGTGGCGTGTAATGGGAACAGCCTCGAAAGAGATCAGGTGGGCAATGGCAGATGCGGAAATCGCCACGGCCGTCGGTGCTCAATTGCCGCTGTCCCTGGGGCAAGGACTGCCAGATGGTTTCGTCGGCCCCGACGTTCGAGATCACCGCAATATGGCTGTAGCCGCGTCACGCGGGCTATATGATACAAACGATGGCACATGTTGTGAAAGCGCTTGGATGCAGCCGCGGATTCGCAGTATGTGTTGTGCAGTATAAAGGGCGCCATCCTCGTTGCAGAACTTGAAGCCGTCAGCTCCCCTGCCCGCGCAATCATCCCAACCTCCCACCCACAAACCTGCCTGGCGCAACCCATGCGGCCGCGATTGCGGTCACAACTTGACACTGGCTTGCGCATCTCGGCGGCCGCACTAGCGCGCGCAAGCTCGCGCGCAGAGCGGCCAGCTGGTTTGGCACAGCCGACGCGGCCGCGATGGCGCTGAGCGGGATTACCGTTGGGAACTTACCAACGCGTCTCAAAGGCCGCATCGGCACGCGGTCGCTTCAGAGCGGGTCGGTGGCCCGGCGGACACGGGATCGTGACGACGGCGACAACGGAGGCAACGAAGATGATGGTAGCGAGTGGTAGCGACGATGACGATGACGATGGACAGGCGAACAACGGCGTCGATGCTGACGACGACGATGACGATGATGACGTCCATGTTGTTGGTGGTGAAGGTGACTGACTGATGATGGCGGCACTGGCGGCGATTGACGATGACGATAACGGCGGTGATGCGGCGGCGCTGATGGGTTTGATTGTGAAACATTGCGCGCGCGGAAATTCACAAAAACATGGCAACTGTGTCTCTGCTGACCAAGAAAAATGCAACCGGCGATTGTTTCATACGTTTTTCTGTACCAGAGGAGGCTCCATACTGAAATGCTTCGGACACCACAGGCTTCGAACTGACTTGAGGGAGCGCGATCCACCGTCGCTGGCCTGAACAAGAATATCTGACTATACGGGGGCCTCAGAAACCAGGGGGGGCCATGGGCCATCCCTCCTCCCCGCCCGACGAACAATCCTACGGGAGGGGGGGGGTCAGACACCAGGGGGTCCCCCTCCCAAACCCTGACCCGCCACCCCCTCCCCCCAGCCCCAGCGAAGAGCCGGGAGGTCCGCCCCCCCTCCCCCCCCGGAAAATCATTCCATTCTGAGGGGTCTACATTCCCCCCTCCTGCCCCGCCCTCCCCCCCCCATCCGAAAAAAAGAACAGCTCGAGGAGCCCCCCCCACCCGAACAGAACAAACTCGAGGAGTCCAAAGACCCCGCCCCCGGGCAACGACGACTACGACGACGACGACGTCGCCGCCGCCGCCGCCAAAAGACCCCGACGAGCACGGCGTGCGGGGCGAATAAACAGCGAGGGCGGGGGTGCGGGCACCCCAGGCGAGACAGCCCAGAGAACCGCAGGCCAACAGAGGGCGCGGGGGGCGGTCACGGGCAGGCAGCGTGTGCGCAGAGCTTGCGACGCCGGCCAGCTCGCTGACATGACAATATGAGCTCGACCTCAGTATACCTTCCACAAGAAGCCCAGCCTGAGATCCCAGGACGTCATTGGAATTTTGGTGTGGGAGCGTCACGCTTTTCCGTAGCAGAGCCATCGAAACCCAAGAAAACCAGGGCACCCTGGAGGCAAGCAGGGTGTTTCTTGGTATGGATCTCTACTGTACGGTTGGCGTCGCTAAGATAGCGTGCGACATCGATCTCCGAAACGCGCGATATCTCTGTGAGGCGATCCCCCGCGAGGGCCCCTTTTGCGCAGGCTGTCCTCCTGCGAAGGCCTTGTCGGTGTAATTACGCTATCCCCCTGCCAGGGCGTCACCAATGCACGCTATTCACAAAATGCCGAATAGCGTGAAATAAGCTGGCCAACGGCGACACATCGACCGCTATCTTGGCAACGCCAGCCGTAATTGTTCTTTTGGGGAACATGTGCTGGAGCCGTTGCGGATTGACTTCGCTCGCGATCCGAGCATATTGGGCCGTCCTGGGACCATCTTAGGCGCCTTGGGGGTCCTCCTTGCTGCATTTGAAAATGATATTGGGGCGTTGTTGATCAGGGGATCGGGCCACAAGACAAACATTTCCAGTCCAAATGGAACCCTGGCCCCCGGCAATCTCTCATCTTTACATAACTTCGGACCTCCGACTCCCAGCGTTTCCCCAACGGCCATCGGGGTAACAAGTTCCTGTGGGCCACCAACTCTCAGGCCGGTGGATCTCTGATTGTTGTGCCCGCGTGCACAACATGCCCATTACCACAAGTGGCACAACAACCTGTGGGGCGTGGACTGGCCCTGCAGAGCGCAGACCTGGTTCAGCCAGGTCAGAGCGAGCTGCGCTGCAGCTTTGTATGGGGGCCTCCCAGGCCTGCTGAGGCCACCACCAGGGCCGCGAGCGGGCCCACAGTCCTGCTCAGCCGAAGTCTGGCTTTCAGGGCTCCCGCAATGTCCGTCGCTCTGGCTGGGCATTGTTTGCGCTGAACCTCGTTCCTGGACAGCCGATGTCCTGACTTTTGCAATCCAGGCGCCCTCGAAGTCCCAGCCCTTACCCCAGGGCCGCCATCTCGTCCTGCGCTGCGTCCGGGGCCCAGCAAAGGATTTTGGATGCTGGAAGAAGGAACAAAAAAGCTAAAAACGTCTTTATTTTTTCAAGACGGTGGATGTCTGGGTCACCTGCGGACTGAATTCGGCATTCGGTATCCGGACGCCCGAAAATGGTACGGAAGAAATGCGTACGATGCCCAACAACAAATGGTGTCAAACAACCGACAACGGCCGCTATTGGGCAGGCGGGCCTTCTGTCTCAAATGGACATCGTCCGCGTCGACACCGGCAGAGACTCCTGCCAATCATTGCATCCATGTTTCAAAGTCTCATGTTGGTCGTCCCGATGGAATGACCGGCCCCCGCCAGCCGCGTCCTGGTAGGGCACGTACGGCAACGTGTGCGCGGGGGCGCCCTCTTTCACGAGGATGGAGCGCCTGTGGAGGGCCTCTCGCGCGGGGACGCGGGGAGCTGGCGAGGCCAGGAATCGCGCTGCAGCAGGAGGAGCGAGGAATGGATGAACGAAACACTTGCGATCCACTTGCTGTCTAGCTGCTGAGCAGAGGTAATGCAACACAAGAAACGGAAGGATGGAGGGAAGCCCACTTCGCTCCACATCCCCCACTTCCCCCAATTCTTCCTCCTCCTCCTGCCCTTTATCCTCCGCCGCCCCTTTTCCTCATAAGTAACTCCTCACTGTCACACCACCAGGCGTATTGATAGGGCGGACCAGGCGCTTCGCATGAGATTACCCCACCAGTCATGGTCCTGAAGCAGAGAATATGCAACAATGTCAAATATGAACAACGGGTGTTTTTTTCAAATGTGGTTGTCGCCTTAGCGCCGTGCACATTCGTCGTACACATTGGGAACAGTTTCAAGGTAGAGGGCGGGTAGATTTCATTGTTGTTATCTCATAAACTTCGCGCGCCTTCGCCTTACATGTTTGCCACGGTATCGCGGCTGGCGTGCGGCGTGCGGATCCATTCTCAATATGTGACTCTCGCCCCAGCGCCGCGCATGTTCTTTTCAATATATTGCAGCATGTATGCAGAGTCGTATGCTCGCAACCCCACTCATGGCGTTCTGGAGCGATTTAGGATTGTTAGGACGCAGCGGTCATGTTGATTCGGGGTGGTGAAGTCCCAGGGGTGATGCTCTGGCATGGTTCAAGTTTGTCACAACGCAACGACCATGATGATTCGCGGCCTTGATGCCCTGGGGGTTCATCTATTCTGGCACGGCTGTGGTGTCCCAGACGTTCGTCTTCCAGCGGGGCACGCCCCATGATGGAGACAGATTATGGTCGGGCTCTCGAAAACAAAAACTGAAAGAGGATAGATATATGGCAAAAGTGCCCATTCGTTTTGGGATTGCTCCTCCTCGTCTTAGGTCGGGCCTGTCCCCGTACAGGGGGATTCAGGACGGAAAATCAAAAAATACCCGAAAATATTCCAACATGGTCAAAAAGAGTTAAAACAAATCGTCCCCAGACTATTTTCTAAAACTATCTTTGAATGCTGTAGAGGCACACGTGCCCCGCGCGCGCAATGCTCATGATGGGTACCTCCCCCCTCGCACGTTTTCTTACAGGGGCCGTGGACACGTGAAAATACACGCAACGCGCGCGCCAGGCACATTGTGAGGCCCCCCCATGCGCGCACGCAGTGCTACGTGTCAAGAACCCGGCGGGCTCAAGTCGGCCCCCCCGCTGGAGGACGCGGACACGTGGAAATACGCGCCCCGCGCGCGCGCGCCAGGCGCATGTTGGGCCCCCCTTCCGCGCACGTGTTTCTGTGTGTTATGGACTCTGGCGGGCTAAATTGGACCCCTCGCCCGGGGCCCCGTCGTGGCCGGAGACGCCCTTGAACGCACACCAAACGGACGCGTGCCGAGACTCATGTCGGAGACCACCCTCCCTCCGCGCACGCTTTTCACGCTTGCAGAATCTGGCGGGTCAGGTCGGGTCACCCGTTGCGGCCCCATCGCGGCCAGAAGCGCGTAGAAACACGTCCCGAACGCGCGCGTGCCGAGACTCCTGTTGGACCCCCCCCCCCCCTCCGCGTATGTATTCTCGCGCGTCCAATTTCGACGCCTGCTGCTCGACGCCCTTCTGGCGGAGGGCATTTGGCCCGCGAGCCTGAAGAGAACCACGGGCCGGAGCCCGTGCCAGGAAAACAAGCCAGAAGAGCGTCGCGAAAGCAGAGAGATTCACGGGCGCCCCACTGCAAGCGCATCTGATTCCGGCGGGTCGGGGGCGCAGCCTGAGAGAGGAGGAGGAGGTCGCAATCGTCGCGAGAAGGAACGAGTGGTACCTCAGGCCAGCTTGGACGCTTTCTGTAGAAGGTCGTTTTCGCGGCGCGGAAGATCGCGAGGTGGCGCATGTAGGGTTCCTGCCAGGAGGTCGCACATGCGGCGCGCAAAGGAGATGCGTTACTGGTCCTCCTCGTGGGTGATGTGGCCCGCCCCGTAGACGGCCTCGACGGTGCGGATCCGCTACTGGAGGTCGCTCTCGTACTTGTCCTGGTAGGTGCTCAAAACTCCTCTCTGGCGCTCGCGTCCTACATCGTCTTCTCGGCCTCATTTGTCTCGTCGGCCGTTTCTGTTTTCCTGGCCCCCTCCTCCTTCCCGGCCGCATGTTGGATTTGGGCAGACATATCGTCGTCGCTCCCATGCCTCACGATGTCCTCGAGTCCCAATCTTCCGTACTTGAACGAGCAGAGGTCGAATAGCAGCGAGGTGAGTGCCTGGATTGCTGGTCGTACACGTCGCTGATCTCGTCCAGATTACACTTGTGGATCGCGGGGTTCAGCAGGTGCCACCTCCGATGGACCCTCGGGCTCCGCATGCTTTTTGCAGCCCTCCCTCCTACTCACCCTCAGGTGTCCTCATGCTCATATTCGCCTCCTACTCCTTCCACCTCAGCCTTCTTCTCTTTCTCCTCCTCAGTCTCGCCATCCACCACAATCTCGTCGTCTGCCTGCAAACGGTCGGCCTTCTCTTCCTCCGCCTGCCCTTCGTCCTCCTCGACCTCCTCGCTCGCGAGGTACGTGGCCTCCTCGCTCGTGCCCTCTGGGGGAGGCACCCTGTTGGCGCATGGCGTTCCACGCCTCCTTCGGGGTCTCCTGGCGCCGTCCCTGTCCAGCTCGTCCTCGCCCTCGTCCTCCTCGTTGTACCTCCGGCCCCCTCGCAGCTGCGTGTCCCCGTAGTGCTCCATCTGGCGGATGATGTAGTGCGTTTCCGCGTCGGTCGCGAGCGTCTTCCATTGCCATTCTGGCCGCGGCCGCTTTGGTCTCCTCAAATTTCGTGGCCTCGTGTGCCAGGTTGGCCTCCTCAATTTTCTTGTGTCCGCGGCTTTCCTGGCTTCCGTCGGCTTTGTGGCATTGTAACTCGTCTTGAAGTCTTTGGGAGCCGTCTTGTCCACCTCCACCTTCTCACTGGTCTCCTGTACCTTTCTGGACACAGCCTTCCTCTGACTAGCCGACACACAAATGCCATGAACATAAACTTTCGGCTCTCCGCGCGGAGTTCTTGGATCTGCGCTGGGCCCCCCTCCCTGGCGCGCGGAGCGCGGCAGGGGCGGCGCCATAGGCGCCGCCGGGGGGGGGCGAGCGCGGATCCAAGAAACCCGCTCGGAGCGCCACAAGTTTATGTTTATGGCGTTCGTTCTCCTTCGATTCCTGTCATCCACGTCTTTCCTGGCCATCCTGTGCCCTGCCAGCCAGAACCTCCTCAGCCCTCAAGGTCATCCTCTGCTGTGCTGGCCTCAGCAGCTACTTCTGCTCTCCTGCTCTTCTCGGTCTTCTGGGCCTCCTCGCACGCCCTCTGGGTAGCCTTTATTTGTTTTTCTTTCCCTTCTCGGCCCCCCCTGCCTTCCTGGACTCCTCCGTCTTCTTGGCTTCCCGTGCAACCCTCGCCTGAGCAGCCCCTCCTGCTCCTCCCCCTCCTCTTCCTCCCTTCCCCCTCCTCCTCCTCCTCCTCCTCCACGTCCTCCTCCTCCTCCTCCTCCTCCTCCTCCTCCTCCTCCTCCTCCTCCTCCTCCTCCTCCTCCCTTCCCCCCCGATGCCCCCGATCAGGACACGACCATCAAGCTGGAGGATCAAAGCACGACGATGCAATGTGTGTTGTCAGCATCGGCGTAACTGTTCGACCCTTGCGGGACTCTTCTGGCCCGAATGGACTGCTGACGACGCGCATGCGAAAAGGGTACACGTCGTTCATTTCTAATCGTGATAATTTCTTAATTGCGCTCGTTTCTAATTGTTCCTGGCCCCCTAGTGGCCCGGAAGAGGCCCAGGATACAATCATTAGAAGTTAAAGGATCTGGCCCCCCCAATACACATCCAAAAACTTTCGAAAACTTAGAAATTAACCATGTGTATGCGAGCAAAAGGGGATGGAGCATGGGAGTGGCACCCCAGCAGACGGAGAAGGTCTCTCCTCCCCTCGGGCACGCGCTAGCATGGACTGCGGTTAGGTCGGGCATGTCCTCCGAATATTCCTCCTGTGGAGAGACACGCCCGGATCAATATTACGGGTCAATGGATCTGGCGCGCAGGCGCCAGATCCACGGATCGGGAAAGTGCCCCCGCCCCCCCCGGGGAACATGGCGCCACTGCCGTCTGGTTCGTCGACGGAAAGCGTGCGGCTTGGCATGGAGGCGGGACCCGTCGCTGATCCGCGCGCAACTCGATGCGCGCATGCGTTTCCTAGACCTCTCCCTCCCTCCTCTACTGGAGCAGGGCGAGTTGAGACAACGACGATCAAAGTCGGTTCCCAGATCCCTCCCGGTGTCCAAACGCGCTAGTTATCCGAGCTGCGTCCAGCCATGGACACGAGGGGCGCCCCCCAAGGCCAACGACCGTTGTCTCAACTCACACACAGAGCCGCGCCTGGACGGCGCATCGGCAGGAAAACTGGCTACGTGAAACACGTGTGCATTAGAACGGGGTTCGTGCAGACGCTCCCCTGCAGTGCCTCGGAAGCGTACGCTGGAGTTCGTTGTCTCAACTCGCCGCCCTGTGATTCTCGACCCTCCTGGCCCAACTCCCGCCCCCCTTGGCCGCCCCTGCTGTGACCGCCACCGAGCCCAGGGATGTCTTGGAAGGAGGGCTTCGCCGAGGCAGAGCTGCGGCACACGGCCAGTGAGGCCCCTCGAGCCGTTGACGGCGAGGCGCTCTTCACTCGAGGTGCTGAAGTGCTCCAGGCTCCCTGGGTGTTTTGCTCCCTTCGCCAGCGCACTGGACCAACTTGTCATACACAGCGTCGGCTCCACGAAGAAACACACGCATTTCGGGATCGAGCATCGTGATACATAGTCGCCTCGAGAAAGGCTGTCCTGAGGAAGAGAAGGAGGGGGAGGACGAGGAGAACGAGGGTTAGGGAGACTGGACAGGTGGGATCTATCGGTGCCCCTGATGGCGACCGCCGCGCCATCACCATCACCAATCAAGACACAAACAGGAAAGACCGAGGAGCACGATGCCAATGGCGCGGGACAATAACAGATTGGGGCGGCCGCCTCCGCGACAAAGCAGACCAGAAATGCAACATGCATCAAGCTGTGTGGGCGGATGACCTGCCGTTCAGACAGCGAAAGCAGAGGAAAGAGAACCACGCACATACACCGATTCTGGCCAGGCCCATCCTGAGCCCAGGATCGGTGCATACGCCCTCCTGCCTTGGCCAGGAGAGCATATGCACCGATCCTGGGCCCAGGAGGAGCCTGGCCAGAATCGGTGCATGTGCATAGTTCTGTTCGCCCGAGAAAGACGAAGCAGAGCCTCGACGACTCGCTTGAGCGAGAACAGCCCCTTGTTGATGTTCAGAGTCTCTTGAACGCGCTGCCTGTGCTGGTAGTACTCCCGCCAACTGATCCTCTGAAAAGGCGCAGGCACGGTCGCAAACTTTGGCCTGGCATGTCGCGCCACCAACTCTTTGTTTTACGCACGGCGGCTCCGGAACAGGGCGCGCCGGCACGCTCCGGAACAGGGCGCGCAGGTGCAACGGCAACACATGCGGCTCGCGGTCACGCTCCGCGAGCCTACCATCGCCTTCCCTGCGAGGTGGGAATTCATCCGTATTCACCGCCTGGGAACCGACGTCCTGAGCTCCAGCGGGCGGTGGATCTGGATATATTTCGGCCCCCAGGGGCCCGAATATGTCCATATCCACCGCCTACCGAGGCTCCGAAAACTGACCCTCCAGGCGGTGGTCATGTACTATAAATTCCCGCATCGCCCTCCCGTGGGGCCACGACGAGGTCCCCCTCCGCTTCGAAGCCTGGGCATCATGGGCGCCTCAAGCTACCCGCGACCCCAACGACCCGAGCAAGCGGTGGATCCAGGGCGCCCGGTTCTGCGAGCCCTGCAGGCCGCACACCACCGGTGGCCATCGTAACTGCCCCGTCCCCGTTCTGACCAGCTCCTGGACCCCGTTGTTGAGGGGCAACGATAGGGGGGGACTGGCATAGGGAGGGATGCATCGACCTGGAATTGGCGATACATCGCCGATAGATCGGCGATAGGCCCCCGATATGGAATCCGCACCTTCCTGGGCGGGTTGGGGCTATCGGGCCCCTATCGGCGATCAATGGGCGATTTAGGGTCGGTGCATCCACCCCTACGCCTGTCCCCCCCTATCGATGCCCCTGAGCTGTCCGTCACCGAAGAGGTCCTCAACCCCGCCTGCGCGCTGAAACTCATCGACGGCAAGACCCAGGACACCGTCATTTGGCGCATCGGGGCGACCGCGCGTACCCTGATGGCCCTCCGCCCGACGCCGACATCGGGGGCTCAACGAGCTCTGGCAGGCGATGCTTGGATCCGCCATTTGAGCAGGGACCGACCGTCCCGGCGCTCCTATAGTCCTACCACGAAACATTCTTGGAGCCCAGCAATGCTCGAAAAACACACAAGAAGGTCCTTAGAACGTAAACCCGATGCGACAAAACAAAACGGACTCCGCCAGACATGTTCTAAGAACACTTCGCGGAAACCACAAAAAGTTCTTAGAACAAACATTGCTTGGTAGGCCTATAGGCGAGCCAGGACGCTTCGCCACTGCTTGACGATGAGGGAGGTGGCTCTCCCCCGGCGGCCTCACCCCGGCTGGGCAGTGCAACTCTCAGCGGCCCTTCGAGCCCCCCCTCCTTCCGAGGCCGATCGCGCCGCCCGTCCCCTGCTGCTCACAGACCAATTGGACGCCCGAATTATCCGGGATAACTCGGGTCCGGGGTAAGTCGGGTTTGGGTTCCCGAAAAATGGACCCGAGTTAGCCCTGACCCGAGTTACCCCTGATGATTCGGGGCTCTGGACGCCCGAATTATCCGGGGTAACTCGGGTCCGGGGTAACTCGGGTTCGGATTCCCGAAAAACGAACCCGAGCTAGCCCTGACCCGAGTTACCCCTGATGATTCGGGGCTCTGAACCAAGCCGAGGTTGAAACGAACAACAACAACAAAACAAACAAAACAAAAAAAACGCTCGTTCCCGCTCGGGTCCCGCGCTGTCCCAGCCGCGCGCGACACGGACGGCCCCATTTTTTGAAGGGAAACTGGGACACACAAATAAATACACACAAATAAAAAGATTCCCTATATTTTCCCATATTTTCTGGGTTTTTGTCTTCCCCACCACTTCCCATATTTTCCCATGTTTTCTGGGAAATCGATGATTAATTGTGTCTGTGTGTTTTTTCCCCTCCTGATTTTTCCAGTCTTGCACGCCCGACCTCTGCCGAGCCCTCCGCCCGCCCGCTCGGAGACAAGACGCGCCCTGTCCGCACCCCGCACACAGTCGGACTTTGATTGGAGAGGACACGCGAGAGGACACAAAGGACGTACGCGCCCAGCTATGTACATGAACACGGCCCCTCGATCTGCGAGACCGGCCGCGTGATACGAACTTTCGGGCAATGCGTACTCTCAAAACCGGCGTGGATTCATGTACGTGTACGTCCTTCTTTCGCTCCTGAGCGCGAGAGGACACAAGATCCTTCCGAGGGCCACGTTGCCGCAGACATGCAGGAGGCATGGGGCGCAACCCACACAAGACACGAGGGGGCCGTTGATCTGTGAGGGTCGACCTACTGATCCGGGGCGCCGGTACCATCGACATCTCGCAGCGACTGTCCGCCTCCAGCCTCCCCACCACGCGCTGCGTCCGCAGCGCCGGGTGCAGGTGACGACGCCCCTTGCCCAGCTTCCTCGCCCCCCACCGCGGCCGCCTTACAACGTCGCCGAGGCTGAAGCCGGCTGGGCCCGAGTCTCCTACCGCCGCCCGCGACGCGATTCCCCGCCCCAACGGAGGATGTCCTTTCCAAAAGGCAGGTCCCTGGCCAGGCCAGGGGCGCTCCTCCGTTCGACCCGCGATCCGAAGCCCGCCAGGTCTTGTTCTAGCACAAGAGATGCGCGTCGCAACCCGAAGCAAACTCTGAACACGCCGGTCGAGACCTACCCCCCTGGGAGTCCCGTGGACACCTCCCGGTTGGGCACGTCCCTGTCGCTGTACTTCTCCCGCCTTATTGGCACCTCCCTACGGCTAAGTACGCGCACTCGCTGCCCAAGACTTCTGACGCCAACACCTGGGCCGCCGCTCTCCCGACCCTCGACGATACCTCCCCCCGTCATCGCTTCGCGCGCGGACGTCGCCCTCGGCGCGACCCTCGCTCGAGTCTCTCCGAACACTCCAGGAAGGGCAGCCGACGACCTCATCTCGACGAAGGTGCTGCTGGGCGTCTTCACCACGTCGCAACTCTGGGAGCTCTCCCTGCTCTCTCGGCCTCCCGCAGAGCCTCGGACGCTGCCGCGCCCGGTTCCTTGCACGTGGCCATGTTCTTCACGTCCACGCTCGACGACTACATCAACCAGGGGCCGCCTTCCCCCAGGTGGTGGAGGACGTCGTCCGCGTCCCCACGCGCGTCCTGTTTTACTGAAGCCACCGTGCACCTTCGCTATGCGACCCCAACCAGCCATGACAAGGGCAAGCAAGGTGATTGCCCTCACGCCCATCAGGGTCCACCTCCCACCTGATGCTCTCATGCGCCTCAGGGTCGCGCGCAGCGTCCGCTCGTGCTTCGACGCGTACCGCGACGACCGCTTCACCTGGGGATCAGTGGTGCCCCCTTCCAGTGCTCATGGCGCCCCCCACGCTCCCGCTCGCGGCCCGCTTGCGCATCAACTCTGTCAACTACCACCACCAGGTGCACAAGTGCTGAATCGCCTTGCTGCACGCGCCGGCGGCCCTCTCCCACATGCCTGCGGGGTCTGAGGAGGCCGCGGCTTGCGTTCGTCGAGGCGACCCCGCCCTGCGCTGAAAAGGGCGCGCGGGACAGCCGCGGGGCAGCCGCGGGGCAGCCGAAGCAAAGCGGGCTCTTGGGCGGCATCGCCGCGGGACGCCGCGACATAGCCGCAGCAGCACGACTGAGGACGGCTGCGCAGCTGCAGCACTGCTGTAGCATAGCGACGGGGTAGCATGTCGGCGACACAGGGACGATCTTCCACGAAGGGGATATCCATAGGAACTACATCCTTGACAGGAACAGACACGGTCACGGACCTGGCGGACACAGAAAAGGAAAGCAACGTGGAGGGCGAACGACAAGAGAGCGCCGAGACGGCACAATATGCACACGCAAGTCCGGGCATATATAACTCGGTGTGAAACGGCAGGTGCATGTGCAATTGAATGCATGCCCTGGTTGTTGAACAGGTGTAGGAAATTCCGGGGCATGTGATCTCTTACAAACATCAGTAAAAACAGGCGTCGGTAGGTCGAAACGGCGAGACACACATGGCCAATAATTGGAGGGCAGTGTGGAAACGCATGCGCGCGCGAGAAAACGCGCGCAACTGAACACGCACACACGAGAACGCGTGCGTGAATACAATGGCGCGCACATGAACTTTCACTGGAAGCGATCGGCGTGAATGGACTCAGGGAATCGCTTTGCCCCCCCATGCGTCGCCCTCTTCCTAAAACCATGGGTCTGAAGCTCTTCCCCCGCGATGGGCTAGAGCGCCTAAGATGGCCCAAAATGGCTCCGCGACGGCCCAAGAAAGCCCATGATGACCTCAAATATGACTCGTGAGCACCCAACGTCGTTCAAGATACCTTCCAATTTGCCTCCGAGATGCCCCGCGGCCGCCCCAAGGCGGCTCCAAGTGGCCACGGCGCTCCCCCAGGAGGCCCCCGGGAAGCCCAACTCCTTTAATGACAATACTATGAACAAGTTGGTGTCGCCTTCTCGTTGTTCCGAGCAGTGTCCGCAAGCAACAATGCAACTATAATGATGATACCGACTGTGTGGGGCCGGACGGAGTGCCGCGTGCCGCTGGTATTGGCGACCGAAAACACATGTTCAAGTGTAATATGACAGCGCCAGACTGCGCCGGGACAGCCGCGGGACAGCCACGGGACAGCCGCGGGACAGCCACGGGACAGCCGCGGGACAGCCGCGGGACAGCCGCGGGACAGCCGCGGGACAGCCGAAGCAAAGCGGGCCGTCGGGCAATAAAGCTGCGGCCCGGGCCAGTAAAGCCGCGGCCCGCCGCGGGACAGCCGCGGGACAGCCGCGGGACAGCCGCGGGACATCCGCGGGACAGCCGCGGGACAGCCGCGGGACAGCCGAGGCGCAGGCGAGGCAAACATGAGGCCAAAATGCTATGGGAGCACTGGGAATGGCCTTCAATCGAGTTGTCTGGCATTGAAGATTATCCATGGTTCGGATGACGAGGAAGGGAGCGAAGGAGGTAGGAGGGGGGCGAAGGAGGGAAGAGGGAGGAGGGAGGAGCGAGGAGGGAGGGAGGAGGGAGGATGAGGGAGGAACGAGGAGGGAGGGACGAGAAGGGAGGAGGGAGGACCAAGGAGGGATGAAGGGTGGAGGAGACATGTCAAAGAAACGAATGAGTGAGCCCGACGTCGGGGTCACATAAGCCCCCGCCATCAAAGTGCATATTGGGGCTGGTCTTGTGGGGGGTGATTGCCGTGGGAAGGAGTCCAAGGGCGCGGGATGAGCGGGAAGGTTTTTTGCTGATGATTTCTACGTGCTTGTATTGCAATAAAACGGACTGTCATTTTCCCGCACAACCAAAATAGCAACAAACGAACGGGGGAAAGGCGCGCGCCACCTGCATCTTACGGGCAGGGAGGGACCCCGCCGGGGTCCCTCCCTGCCGCTCGGCACGGCCCGGCGCCTGCGGCCCCTGCTGCCCCTCGCTTGGATCCGCCCGCTTTTTTGGCGTGCCGTGTGGCTCCGCGGCGGCTCCATGGCGTCTGCCCGCCCTCTCCTGCGCCTCCCGCCCCACCCCGCGTGGCCTCGCCCGCGGCGCTTCTTCGCTCTCGTCCTGCCCGCCCTGGTCCTGCCGTGCGGCATGGGCTGCCGTGGCCGCGCTGGCCGGGCGCCCCTCGGCACCGATCGCCCCGCGGCCCGATGCTGCCCTCGGGCGGTGCCGCTCTCTCGGCGGCCGCGCCTCCCCCAGGAGAGCCCGGAATCGAATCGACAAGTCGGATCGGCGATCGGAATGAATCGGGTCGGCGGAGATCGGCAGCCGAGCCGGGCAAAGCCGAATCGGCAGAACTCGGCAGACTATAGTCTATAGTAGGCCTCCAGTGAGACACAGGAACCCACATCGGACTCCGAAGCCGAATGGCATCGGGATCGGAAACCGTCGATCTCGAATCGAATCGAATCGAATCGGAGGAGTCGAAATTCGGTGGCGCGCAAACGTGGATTAGCGATCCATGGATTTGGCGCGCGGTCGCCAAATCCATGGATCGGGGGAGGTGCCCTCCCCAAAACGCGGCCGGTGCCGCCTCGCTCGGCGGCGGGAATCCACGACTTCCCATGGAAACGGGACCTGTCGCTAATCCACGCCCCCTTAAGTAATTAATGTTTGCGATCGCCTGAACTCGAGCCGGCCAACCAGACATCAATCAACGTCGAAATTGATTCGACGGGGGGCCCCCTTCCCTTTGATATCCCTTCCCTGGCGGGGCGGGGAGGGGAGGTTCCCGGGGCTGGGGAGGGGGCCCCGGGGCTCGTGCCCCCCCCCCCCCCGGGGCGGCGGTACCCTGAGGTCGGGCCTGTCCCCCATACAGGGGGTTCTTGGGTGAAACATTAGAAAGACTGCCCCCTTGATCCATGTCTGCGATCGCCTGAGAAATGAGCCCTGCCTCTCGGCGCCCGCGCCTCCCCCCGGGTCTCGGCCTTCCGCCTTTCCTCCTCCTCTTTCCCCTCCTCCTCCTCCACCTCCTTCCGTCCTCCTCCTCCTCCTCCACCTCCACCTCCTTCCCCTTCCAACTCATGGTGGTGGTGGTGGTGGAAAGCACACAATAAAACAATTGACGATCTCAAACCTGTGATGTATGTGATAGCTTGCTTTGCAAGCGCTCTGTGGTAAGCTCTCGGCGGCCTCCTACCCCCTCCACCTCATAGTGGTAGCGGTGGCGGAAGACAGGCCCATCCGTCCGCGCCTCTAGAGGCCTCCTAGATGGGGTCGGAGGATCCCGCCGCATCGCCGATACATCGCCGATGCATCGGCGATGCATCGGCGATGCATCTGCGATGCATCGGCGATGCACCGGCGATGCACCGGCGATGCACCGCCGACGTCGGCGACGCATCCGCGACGTCGGCGTGGGGAAACACGGGCTCCACATCGAGCCGCATCGCCGATGCATCGGCGGTGCGGCGCGCTCCTCCGACCCCACCTGCTCGGACCCCACCCACTCGGGCCCCATCTATAGGAGTAGATGGGGTCGGAGGATCCCGCCGCACCGCCGATGCATCGGCGATGCATCGGCGAATCGCCGATGCATCGGTCGGCGATGCGGCGGGATCCTCCGACCCCACCTCTACTAGGGCGACGAGATCTATGCATATCCACTGCTCCTGGCCAGGCCAATCCTGGGCCCAGGAGCGGTGTATACGCCCTCCTGGCCTGGCCAGGGAGGCATACATACAGCTCCTGGGCCCAGGATGGGCCTGGCCAGGAGCAGTGGATATGCATAGATCTCGTCGCCCTACTCTACTCTGACCCCATCTCTAGGAGGCCGAGCGCCTCCCCCCTGGGCCTCTCGGCCTCTCCGGGCCTGCCCGCCGCCCCTCGCTCGCCGCTCCCCCGGGGCCTGCCGGGGTGGGCCCCGCCCCCTCTCGGGGGGGGGGGCCTTCCTCGCTCTGCCCCCCGCGCCGCGCGGCGCCCGCCCCACCGCCTGCCGGCCGCGCCACCGCCGGGGGCCCCTCTGGAGCAGGGGCTTCCCCGGCGGGGGTTTATAGCGAAGCGGGGGCTCGGGCTCTTCCGTGTACCCCCGTCTATACTGTGCAGTCAGCCAGCGTGCTCGCACCCCATCTATAGGAGGAGGCCGAGAACCCCCCCCCTGGGCCTCTCGGCCTCTCCGGCTTCCCCGGCTTCCCCGGCGGGGGTTCAGCGAAGCGGGGGCTCGGGCTCTTCCGTGTACTCCCGTCTGTACTGTGCAGTCAGCCGGTGTGATGAGGAGGCGCGATGAGGATGCCAGGGCCTTGGAAGGCCACGTCGAAGCTTCTCGAGCGGGGCGCGGCCATCGAGAGTGGCGAAGGATGGACCGAGGAGGCAAGGATGCAATTGTACCCTCGGGAAGGTTGCCGATCCTTACTATGCGGGTTGACTGTTAACGGCGCCCAGGGCCCCCTAAACGGGGGCATAGCCAAACGTGGAAATCGACGTTCCCCGTACCCCCGTTTGCTGTGCTCCCGTCTCTGGCGCCCTGACTTGAGCAGGGGCCGACCGTCCCGGTATTCCTATCTATAGGCCTATCATTAGAACGGGCATATCCCCCTACAGGCCGATGATCGACGAAAAATTAAACATATTCCAAACATACTCAAGGATGGTCAAACATACTCGAAAAATCGT